TATATATATATATACTATATATATATATACTATATATATATATACTATATATATATATATTATATATATATATATTATATATATATATATTATATATATATATATATATATATATATATATATATATATATATATATATATATATATATATATATATATATATATATATATGAATGTTGTGGTTTCCCACGTTGACGATTCCACTCGTGTTACGTTATGTAGCGGTTTATGAGTTGTTTTCAGACGAGTGTATACCAAACCGGGCAAGCAGAAAATTCTACTTGACCGCGCATGGGATTCGAACCCGCGACCTTCGCATTTCTAGAACGATGCTCTACCTTCTGAGCTACAAGGTCAAGCTGAGAACGACGTGTTAAGTTATGATGTTATTCGCATTTCGGATGTATATATATATATAATATATATATATATATATATATATATATATATATATATATATATATATATATATATATATATATATATATATATATATATATATATATATATATATATATAGCTTAAGATTTTGGTTTACGAAACACAAACAGTGCTCAATACCATATAGATAGAGCGTAATATAGTTTTTCGTTTTACCTCAAAAACCACAACAGTCTGTTTCATCCGTATAGGAATCATCAGACCACCTGATGATTCCTATACGGATGAAACAGACTGTTGTGGTTTTTGAGGTAAAACGAAAAACTATATATATATATATATATATACGAGTAGGTTTATGAATACAAAACGCAAAGAGTGCTCAATATCATAAAGATAGAGTATATATATATATATATATATATATATATATATATATATATATATATATATATATATATATATATATATATATATATATATATATGTATGTATGTATGTATGTATGTGTGTGTGTATGTGTGTATGTGTGTATGTATATATGTATGTATGTATGTATGAATGTTGTGGTTTCCCACGTTTTACGATTCCACTCGTGTAACGTTATGTAGCGGTTTTTGAGTTGTTTTCGGACGAGTGTATACCAAACCTGGCAAGCAGATATATATATATATATATATATATATATATATATATATATATATATATATATATATATATATATATATATATATATATATATATATATAGTTCTGTTAGTTAGAGAATTGCACCAGAATTGCTCTGTAGCTCTGTTAGTTAAAGCATTGCACCAGAATCGTAGGGACGGAGTTAGATTCCTGCAGAGGGTCTATAGTTGCATTTCTCGCAACTGCTCCTGGTTGAGTCGAATAACTCGTAATTTCCATCTAGAAGACCCTTCTGTGAAAAGGATAGAGTTTATTTATAGTTTTTACTTCCTCAGAGCAACACGTAAGTACTACTAAGTAGTAATATAGGTACCGTTCGGCCCTGATTTTTGGGATGGCGCAGAGGAAGCGCAGAGCCATCGCAGGGTGCAGCATCATCATTAGTATGAAACAGGGAGGCGCAGGGCACCACAGGGTACCGCATTATCATTAACATGTATGCATGACGTAACTCAAGGCGTGCTTGGGCGAAACAGTTATTAAACTCTGAGCGCACCATTTTCATCACAAAAGTATCTAGCAATAATCGTTTTTTAATTAGCGTCCGATGTTATAGCGTCGCTATAAAATTCGATCACATTCATTTGAGTATCATTGCGCTGCCAAAGCCATAAGATGGAGTGTCTACATGGAAATCCTGCCTCCTGTTCCACTACAAACAATAGTACATTTTGGTTCTGTGGACATAAACTTAGCTGTGAATTCTTCTGCGAAAACCGTAGAATATTTCAGAAAAAGTGGGCTTCAACATCACGTGTGCCCTACACATCAAAAGCTGGCAAAGCGACGTATAGCTAAAGACAAGATGGAGTAAAACTACGTTCGCCCATTCTTCGTATGCTCGGAACGAGAAAATCCCCCTAAATTCTGGCAATAGGGAAACGTATATGAAAATCTTAGAGCTATCTGCCAACATGGAATGGTATGCTGCGAACGAAAATTGGCTGTTTTACTTTTGCCCTAAGGAAGACGCTTGTGGTTTCTTGAAATGGAAACAAACAAAGCCTCGTGTGATCAATACCGGCATCGCGCTGTTCAGCAATCCACCACAATACCGATCTCTTAACCTGGGCAAGTCCGCGTGCTTGGCACGCTCCGTTATTGTATCGTCAGATGGATTCTTTCAACAATACACACAGCTTATATTGCACAAAGCCCAGCTTACACCTCGTAACCTAGCTCGAAATATCGAGCCTCGCTCGAAACCTTGTTTAAATAACTCGGAGCTTAGCTCGAAATATCGAGCCTAGCTTGGAACCTTGTCCAAATAGCTCAGAGCTTAGCTATTTAGACTAGGCTCCTAGCTATTTAGACAAGGCTCCGAGTTATGCTCGATATTTCGAGCTAAGCTCCGAGCTATTTAGACTAGGTTGCAAGCTAGGCTCCGAGCTGTTTAGACTATGCTCCGAGCTATTTCGAACTAAACTTCGAGCTATTTAGACTATGCTCATGCTCAGAGCTAGGCTCAGAGCTATTTAGACCAGGCTCCGAGCTAGGCTCGATATTTCGAGCTATAAGCTCCGAGCTATTTACACTAGGCTCCGAGCAAGGCTCGATATTTTGAGCTAGGCTCCGAGCTATTTAGACTAGCTTCCGAGCTAGGCTCCGAGGTATTAGCTGGGGTTTGTGTAATATAAACTGTGTCGTTTAGTTGAAAGAATTAATCTGACGTTACATACATAACGGAGCGTGCCAAGCTCGGACTTTCCCAGGTTAGAGATCAGTATTGTAGAGGATTACTGAACAGCTCGATGCCGGTATTGATTACACAAGGATCTGTTTGTTTCCATTCAAAGAAACCACAAGCGTCTTCCTTGGGACAACAGTGAAACATCCGATTTTGGTTAGGGCCATCTTTCTTGACTTTTCGTTCGCAGTACACCATTCTATGTTGGCAGATAGGTCTAGGATTTTCATATACGTCTCGCCATTGCCAAACTTTACAGGGACTTTCTCGTTCAGAGCATACGAAGAATGGGCGGCCGTAGTTTTGCTTCATCTTTTCTTTAACTGTAGGTAACTTTGCCAGCACTTGATGTGTAGGGCACACGAGATGTTGAGGACCACTCTTTCTAGAATATTCGACGGCTTTCGTAAAGACATAACAATCTTCATCTCGACAAAAGAATTCACATCTAGGTTTATGTCCACAGAACCAAAATGTACTATGGTTTGCAGTGGAACAGGACGCAGGTTTTCCATGTAGACACTCTATCTTATGGCATTGGCAGCGGAATGATATTCAAACAAATGTCATCAAATTTTATAACGACGCAAACATGGGAAGCTAATTAATTAAAAAAACATTATTGTTAGATACTTTTGTGATGAAAATGGTGTGCTCAGTTTCATATAGTATATTAGTCAAAATTACCCAAAGCGTTTTCCATATGTTTCCTTGCAAGTAGTTCAGTGCGACCAGTGCGACGTTCCTGTATGATCATCTTATCCAGAACAACTTCATGCGTGTTTTCCATACTTGGGACTTTAATATTTTTATTTCCAACTCTGGCCTCACTCTCAACCATTCCATTGAGGATTTCATCAAACAGGACGGTGCCATTCACATCAGAATACGACCATTGCACACTTTCTGAAATTTCACGTAATCTCCTCAACTCTCTTTCCTTCTCATCGTGCTTGTTCAAAAAATCAATTAATGCATCCTTACATTCGAAGACTTGTTGCGTCATCCCTTCGATAGAAACTTCCTCAGCTGATAAAGTGATGAAAACTTCGTACCCTCTCGATAATTCTTTAATTACAGAGTTGTACTTCCAAAATCCATTAACCGTTTTCGCATCTTTTACGCATTTCCTTACTTTGCATCGGGTGATATATGCTTCGATTTTTTCGATGGATATAGTCACGTTATCACGGAAACCAACAACTCGAAAAATAACTTCATCATTCCTTCCGATGTTTAAGATTTTGTTTCCAGAACGCTCATCATTGACTACCCCGTCCATCAAACCTATCTGACCACTCTCGTGGAATTCCACACTCGTTCTTTGCATCTCTACCTTTTCTTCGAAAGCTTTTAGGAAGATTTGCATCATATCCATATCAAGCGTAACCACTCGAATATGCATCGCAAAATTTGTATTCGAGAAAATTTGAATTGCGTTCAGAATGGCATTGGCACATTCGTTGGCGGCGATGCTGAACGAAGTTATTTCTGTGGCCAATATTATTGCGCTATGACATGCGAAAAACTTCGCAGCGTCTAAGCAAGCTTTTATTACACGCTCCAAGCCAAAAATATCAAACGAAACAGGAACAGAGTGCACGTAGTATTTTACATTCGCGCCGCTGTTAGCTTTGGTCACCAATACAGTGCCGGGTGGTTGTTTCATTGATTCTTCTCGCGTAGAATCACAGAGATCAATTCCATCATCGCCTTGTTGGATACTCGTGGATTGGAAGGCTGTTGTCGCCACTCTTACATTTGTTGAAGATAAGTTCATCATAGCATCCGCTTCATATTGTGATCCATTGCCACCGCACAGGCAAATACGAACCGGTCCAAAAGGGATTTCAGTAGAACTGCTTGCAGAGATGGGTGGCACTAAAATCTCTGGTTTAGTTTGTAAAGGCACTGTTTTCCTTTTCTCAGCTTTAGATTGAAATACAATAATGCAAATATCTTTGAGAGTTAGCTGAGCTCCTTTGTTGCTGCTAAGTTGGTTTATTTCGTTTCTGATTACTTGTAAGACAGCTTCCACGGGAAATCCATGTTGACCTGTGCCTATCATTGGCATTGCAAGCGAAGATGCCCCCAACTCATGGCATTTCTCAAGGATTTTTCCCACCAACCCACATAAAAACTAGAAATAGAATTTGGCCAATATCAGTATGTGCTTTTGGACGACATCAATGTCTATATTTTCTCTTTCAACACAGTCTTATTGTTATTAAAAATCGAAAACCTGAGATAAAAGATTAAAATCCTACTATTTTCAAATAAAAAATGAGATCTTTTATGGAACATCATTTATACTTGGAGAAAAGTGAAGTGTTGTGTGCTAAAAACTTAGATTTGGTTTAACATTTTATACCTAAATACGGTAATTCTACTTAAACGTCTGGCAAATGATTAATAAACGGAAGCGTGATGTGTATTAAAATGGTCGAAAAAGGAAGAAATATGTAACGTAAACAGGAATTATTGAAAGTTCATAACGCAAAATGTTTTTTGTATTTGCCAGGCAATTTCCATCAACGAACAAATTTTTGTCCACCTCCTAATTTTTCCACCATACGCCTATGTTAATCTTGCGTTTACACCATGACGAATACCACCTTGCAACGACACAAAGCGTTTGTATTGACACCATATTGGTAGCTTTTTGAAACGGCTTAATTAATTAAAAACACACAGCGGACACGTAGTCTTAGTGAACCATTTTTTTAACATTCTAGGACTACAAGGTCTGATAACAATAGTCTAAGTTCCATCATACCTTTTGCGCTGGTAACGGCTCTTTAAATCGATTCAAATTGCGACACACAGCATGGATAACATACTTAGACAACAGGTTACCACTTTCCGTTGTTATAATATTTCCTGGTTGTATAGCTATGTGAGGTTTACATGCTTCTTGGAAACACGATCCACCACGAACCAGCAACGCTCGACCACATGCAGTAGGATTATTAAGGTTCATGTGCGCAGAGTTTACCAACACATCAGCCTTCAAACAAAATAAGAACATGGTCACGATTTTAAGATGATGTTACTCTGAGTGAGTCCATACCGGACAAGCGGACAAATCTGTTTCACAGCGGCATATAAAATCAAACCTGCGACTTTGAGTTTGCTAGTCCAATGCCGAATCAGCAAATCAATGTTTGCGGGTTCCGTTCCTGCCGCGATCAGCGAAACTTCTCATCTTGCTCGGTGTGGACACATTCAGGGTAACATCATGCTTGCCGATATTTTACCCAACTAACATTTATATATATATATATATAAATGGCTAATAAGGCTAATTTATCTGATGAGTGCCACATCTTGTGGTACGAAACTAATAGTAATAAAGATGCCTAGTGGAATTTGTTGAGTCGTTGCACTTATTTAATTATGCTCTGGATATCCATTGAGCACTCTGCCAAATGGTTTTGTAAACAACGAAACCTTATATATATATATATATATATATATATATATATATATATATATATATATATATATATATATATATATATATATATATATATTGAATTACTTCATATGAACTTTATTTCACTACAAATTTGTTTCGTATGACAAGACGAGTCTTGCCACACTCATCAGGTGAATTTAAATAACGCGCGATGTTGTTGCCTAGGATATATATACTATGTACATGTTTGACGTCAAAAGTGTTATATTACAGCGTTATTTATAATCTATTTATTGCTCAACAGGAATTTGTTCCGGTGTCTACATTTTGGCAATAGTTCATTTCTAGAGTTCAAGGAGCTGAGTTTAGGATAATAAATAATTAGAAATTTTTCGTGCAGGCATAAGTTGCATCGTTTGGTTTTGTTTGAGTAGCTTTTACACTTTTTCATAATTCTCCATTTAATGGAGTATTTTACCCTTGACTCTTTCAAATGCCAGACATTTTTACTTAGATCAACATTGAATACAAGATCAACAAGAATACAAGAATACATTGAATACAAGATCAACATTGGATACAAGTTTCTTCAAGCTATCGACGATTCCTTTCCTCCTAACCACCCTCTACACAAGATATTTAATCGAAACACTTTGAAATTAAGCTACAGCTGCATGCCTAACGTTCATTGTATTGTCTCTGGTCATAACAAGAAAGTACTCAACAAACAAGACAAAACTGAAACAACTAAGAATCAAACGTCTGAAAAGAGTAGTGAGTGCAAATGCCGTAAGAAAGATTCCTGTCCTCTCTCCAGTAAATGCTTAACAAGCAGCATTGTTTATCAAGCAACTGTGACTAGAAACGATACAAAAGAGGAAAAGACCTATGTAGGACACACAGAAGGGGAATTCAAAATAAGGTACAATGGTCACACCAGTTCCTTCAGAAACTCCAGAAACAAACATGCTACTGAACTAAGTAAATATGTCTGGCATTTGAAAGAGTCTAGCGTAAAATACTCCATTAAATGAAGAATTATGAAAAAGTGTAAAGGCTACTCAAACAAAACAAAACGATGCAACTTATGCCTGCACGAAAAATTTCTAATTATTTATTATCCTAAACTCAGCTCCTTGAACTCTAGAAATGAACTATTGTCAAAATGTAGACACCGGAACAAATTCCTGTTGAGCAATAAATAGATTATAAATAACACTGTAATATAACACTTTTGACGTCAAACATGTACACAGTATATCCTAGGCAACAACATCGCGCGTTATTTAAATTCACCTGATGAGTGTGGCAAGACTCGTCTTGTCATACGAAACAAATTTGTAGTGAAATAAAGTTCATATGAAGTAATTCAAGTTTGTCTTCTAATCTTATCAGCTCTACTGCGTTATTATTGAGCACTCTACTCATATATGATTCCAAACTCGATACTTGTCTATATATGTATATGCATATGTATATATATATATATATTTAGAATCATATATGAGTAGAGTGCTCGATATACCGAAGTATAGATATAAAGATAAAATAGACCTGGTTTACTTCATAAAATTTATTCACTGAATAAATCTTATGAAGTAAACCAAGTTTATTTTAATTATATC